GCGCTGGGAGGTCAGCGCCGGTGCAGTCAGGCGTGCATGCGCGCCTCTTGCTCTCCCCCGCTTGTTTCTTTCCTCCTCCCTCCCTTATTGTGTGTGTTTGTTTAGGCCCACAGAGGAAAGCTGCAGTCAGGTAACCACTGCGCCTTTCTCTCCCCTAAAAAACACAAGGGGGAAGTGGAAGCAGAGTGAGGCTGTGGTCGGTAAAGAAAAGGAAAATTTTCTCTCGTTTTGGTTCTTGTTCAAGTTCAGTTTCATTTCAGCAAAACATCTGGTGTAAACTTTGGCGAATTAGAAATAGGACCATGAATGTTGATGGTTTTGTAAATATGCTGCTTGAGGTATGTTGAAGTGGCGCACAACTTTAAATCCAGCTTTAATTGTTTAATTTCAGTGATTAGCTTTAGTTAAGCTCGACGATTTAAGCTGACAAACCTAACCCACACAGAGGTAGCACAAAAATAAACTGATAGAAAATGTTTTGTTCAAGTGAGACTCAAAATACTGAAGTTACAGCTGTGCTGTTGTGTTTCAGTGCTGATTGTCTCTCGTTGTGAAATGTGAAGGTAAAAGGCTAAATAATATAGCCTGTGTGCTTCTGTTCATTTGTCAGAACAGTTAGTGAAATATCTTGTGAATCACCAAAAMGATTTTAATAAAACTCTCAGAAATTGATCCTTGAGTTGACATCTATAACTGGACAACTTTTGGAGTCATCCTAATTTAAAATGGCTGCCACAACTATCACATATTAGCTAACACAAAAAAGGCTCCAATCCAGTCAATTTCATAGAAACAGAGCTAAAAATAGGTGTGGTCGTAGCTGACCACCATTCTACAAACATCCGGTTGGTGTTTTCAGATCATGCAAGATCACACAAGATGTTGTTGTGTTGCATGAGATGCACTGTTATTTTCAAGTTTTGACATAAATGGCTCTAGTTCCATCATTTCTCAACATGAAATGAGTCTAAAACTCCAGCTTGAAACGCGGCGGGGGATATGCATTCCTATAACTGTGCCTGCTGCGGCAGAATGAGCCTGAAGCGATCAGATAAAACCAAATGATTAAAAATGCAAACACATGTTTCTTAAAGCACAAATGGCAGGGAGGAAGTTTTTCATGAGACATGGTCATGAACGTCATCGCGATAAACCACATTTGGATAATAGACAGATGCTCCAACATTTAGCCACATTTTAGCAAAKCACACACACACAGAGACCTACTATGTCTCTCTATCCTTGTGGGGACTTTCCATTGACTTCCATTCATTTTTTTTGAAATTTTGTTTCCTAACCCTGACCATTTACCCAAAGGATAACCTCACAGGTACCTACCTGACCCTAAAACTAACCTAAACTCAATTCACACCTTGGTCCTAAACCCAACCCCTTCCTCTCAAAATCAGCTTCTGAAATTGTGGGGACCAAAGGAGCATCCGGTCCCCATAAGGCTGCATTTTCCTGAAAAATCATCCTCACCAAGTAGCAGGAACAAGGCCACACACACACACACACACACACACAC